TCTCGCCTAGGGGCCCATCAAGGCATTTTTTTTAAGAAATACAACACTAGGCCACGGTAAGAGGGGAATTTGACAATTGGGTTAGAAACAAAGGTTACGTTATTAACTAATGCATAATTATTTACATGGTTATTTTACTATCTTTTAAAAACATAACTAAGGAATCATACACTGCTCTCGAGTCTAGTGATAATAAGTACTGAAGGTTCCAAGGGGCTAATATATTGTATTTATGTAAGTTATTTATTAATCTTGCTGAAATTATAGTATTTCTGGGACAACTGAAAAATATATGATCTAGGTTTCCTTCTTCTGTACAAAATTCACATCGATCATTATCTAAAACCTTGAGTTTAAATAAATGTTCGGGGTAACAAGCATGTCCAAATCTGTCTAATGATCGTGGTAACATATTTTCTTGGTACATTAAAAGACTTATACCTAGGTGTTTTAGGAATATCTGTTTGAAGATAAGTGTATCTATTTGGGCTAACAATGGAATATTCCTTCCATATATTATCCCACCTTTGGTATAATCTTGATTTTAAGGAAGCCAGAAAGTCGCAAGCCGTGATTTTATACGAAGTTTCTCTACCAGATAAAATACTTTTCTTTGCTAATTGGTTCACATGTTCATTATTTTCCAAACCTATATGTGCTTTAATCCAAACAAAGACCACATTTTTGCCCCTTGTTACTAACTTTTGTTTGATATCCTTAATTTTGTAAATATAAGGGCATCTGTACGTATTTGGCAATCCCGGTTTCCCAATAGAGGTCAAAACTGATAAAGAATCTGATAATATCACTATATGATCCGAGCTACTTTCTGTTGCATAAAGTAAGGCCTCATATATTGCAAGAGCTTCCGCTGTAAAAATAGAGGTCTGGGAGTTTAACTTAAATGTGTGTTCTATTCGTTCCAACGGGACAAAAAAAGCGCATCCAGTGCCGTTTGATGATTTGGAAGCATCAGTATATATAACGACGGAGTGTGTATATTGTCACTATATTTTGGTACCATGATATCTGTATTTGACCAATACGTTGCATATGAAATGTTTTGAAGTGTATACGTAGCTTTATCTATCTCTTTTAATGCTTCCATATTATGTTGCAGAGCTTCGCAGACTAAAGGAGATTTCTTTTTTTCCCAGTATTTAGTAGACAAATCATAGCAATTCAAAGTAAAGATCTTTGTGTATAAGGATTGATTTTTTATATATGTCTTTACCAGAAATTTTTCGGACAGGAAGTTTCGTCTGATATTTAAAGGTGGTTCCAAGGCTTCCAAATACAAGGGTTGAATTGGTGTTGACTTCATAGCACCTAAACATGTACGTAAAGCTGAATTGTGTATTACGTTAATTTTATTTAGCAATACATTACTGGCTGATCCATAAAATATGCTTCCGTAATCAAAAATGGAGCGGATATGCGCTCTGTAGAATAATAAATTTACATCTACATCAGCACCCCACCACGTTGTATTAATCGATTTAAGGAAATTTATTCCCTTGTTGCATTTGTTTAACATATCCTCAATATGATCCTTCCAAGTCAAATGTTTGTCAAGTGTCATCCGTAAATATTTGACCTTACTTTTTAGTGGATATTGATGCTCTCCTAATTTAATTATTTGATCGTTAGGTTTATAATGTCTAGTAAAAATGCAAACCTGAGATTTATTGCAAGATAATTCAAAATTGTTTTTATGGAGCCATTTTTGAAGTAGCTGATAGATGCTATCCAAGTTTTTAATTGCTGTTTGATATTCTTTGTGTTCTGTGTAAGTGCAGAAATCATCTGCGTATTGTATGAGGTTGAAGGGTATGTTATTTATTTTAATATTGTACAAGTCCGCTACGTACATATTAAACAGGATAGGGCCCAATACAGAACCCTGAGGTAATCCTTTGTTTACGATTCTGGGACCTATGAGCATTTGTTCTTTTCTTAAATAAACTAATCTGTTTGAGTATAGATTAACAATACTAGCGGCAAATTGGGCTGGAATTCTTGTCATTTTTCTTTAAGTGCTATTAAACACACAGAGTCATAAGCACCTTCTATATCAAGAAATAATGCTGGTAAGTAATTGTTTCGGGAATAATTGTTTTGAATGTCTACAACTAGGGTAGCCAATGCATCCAAAGTACCAAAACCTTTCCTAAATCCGTATTGTTCTTTGGGTAGAAGGTTCTGCTCTAGTAACCACCATTCTAACCTAGCCTTAATTATCCTCTCTAGAGTTTTTTGTACACAAGATAATAAAGATATGGGTCTGTAAGTTTCAACTAACTTTAGATTTTTCCCAGGTTTGGGTATAGGAATGACAATAATATGTTTGAAGGCTGAAATGTTAGAACCTTCTCTAATTATCTGATTAAAAATATTTAGAAGTAACTTTTTTGCATTATTTGGTAAATTCAATAGCATAACATATTTGATTTCATCATAACCAGGAGAAGTGTTGGGACGATCACTAAGGGCACAGTCCAATTCTAGCATTGTAAATGGTTTTAAGAGAAAATGACTATGATTCGGATTGAATAACATCAAATCTTCGTGACTGTTCACATATGGTGGTGCAATTTTGTCCAAAAACTCTTCTGTACACGAATCTTCCAGTGGTAATGGAGCATTGACTATTTTCCTGTTCATCCTTTTCGCTTGATTCCAAATCGAGGTAGGCGACGTTTGTTTATTTAATTTTGAGCACCAATCAACCCAGCTTTGTTTGGCTTTCGATTTCAATAATTTCTTAGCGTGAGCACTAGCTTGTTTACATTTAATAAAATTTTCAACTGATGGATCTTGCTTGTATTTTATTAATGCATTTTTCCTTTCTGCAACAATTAGATCACATTCTGCATCCCACCACGGTGAAGGAGTCCGTTTTTTACACTTAAAGGGTTTATATTGGCAAATACATTGTGTGGAAGCTTTATTGATACAGTCTAATAAAATATTATATTTTTCTTCAGCATTTGGGGATATAGGTCCACTTTCATTTAATATATTCTCGATTATTTCAGCATACATATCCCAATTGGCTTTCTTAATATTCCATTTACTTTTGGGGTATATGGTCTCATTAATAGCTCTTGAGTATTCGAGTTCTATTTTTACAACAAAGTGATTTGATCCAAGTGTATCAGAATCTACAGTCCAAAATGTCTTAGCAAATATGGACGGGGAACAAACCGTAATATCAATCATAGAATCTGAATTCGTGAGACATTAACTAAATGGTTTAATAAGTTAAAATAAACATCATATATACGTATATCTTAAATTGCAAATTACTTTGATAGAAGGAATAATCTAGTAAAATAAAGATATAAACAGTAAATTAATTGTAATTTATTTATATGGTTTTAAAATGAGATTTAAAATTTATAAAATCTGAAATATGCTTATAATATATATAAATATACCTAGTTCATATTCAGCAGTATGACAATTTTCGCAACTTCCTCCATTACAATTTTCGCACATCTCGTACATTTTAGGCCGTACTTACGGCATCCGCAATGTTTGTTACATGCGGTTTCGCTACATTGAAAAATGGTAAACTTTATTCGTCATTTTTAACAATAAATAATGATTTTAATTTAAGGAGAATACAAATAACCTAAAATATAGCTTTTTAAGTAGTGAATGACGCCTGAGTCGTTTCTTAATAAAATTGTTATTAATAAAACCTCTGTGATATAAAAAAAATATGCTAACTGGGCTCCTATTGGTCGTAGAAAACTCTTTTTTTTTTTAGAAATTTGCAGGGTACATAGGCAGCTCTAAATGTTTATAACTTCATAAATAATTATTTTTAACGGGTTAAAATTTTTTTCATTAGTTTCCAGTTAATTATGAAAATTTACAGCTTTAGGAAGAGAATGAAACAAGAATTAGCCTTCTACCATTTTTTTGGCAATCCTATGAGCATTCAAAGTTGAAGGTCGTGGGATAAACTAATTAACGTATCTCAGCAACAAATTAAGTGATCTAGGCCTACTACGGCTCATTCGATTCGTATTTTTATAGGCTAGAATGTCATACATTTGAAATAAATAAAAAAAACAATTTTGCAATAAATATTACGTTTTTAATTTTGACCTTCATTCGTCATTTTTGCAATAATAAATAAATTGAATTAAACGTATACTAGCTCAAATTAAACGACTTTTACAGTACTTTCATAATTTATACAGAAATTACCCACTACAATATTTACTTTAGGCAAAAAATTAAAAAAAAACTCAAACAATACGTATTTTGCACCTATAAACGCTCATAAATAAGCAATAACCAAAAATTGTTTGTTGAATGAACTGGGGTATTGCTCCTGAGGTTGCCCTTTATAACCTAGGCCACATTACATAAATTCCTGGATTAGAGAGTACTTTTTTCCCCACAGCCTGGGCTAGTTATATTTTTTAAATTGGTTTAAACCTCAACCAATAAAATTGTAATGAAAAGTATACATTTTATCTTGTTTTTGACGTTTCGATTTCCAATACAGAAATAGTTTTCAAAAAAAAAAAAAATCTGAAATAAAAATTGTGAAAATGTTTGAAGATTAAAAAATTCATTACAGTAAATTGTAATTTAATCATATTTAAAAATACTAAAAGTATAACTAATAAAATATTATCATGTACTTTTTAAAGATTGTTTTCAAAATTAAACGCGATTTTTATTAAAATATTTTATACTATTTATTTTAATTGCTAATTAGTACTTTTAATAAAAATAAGCCACAATTTAAGTTTAAAATAAGTTTAATGTTTCGATTTCTACCTCGGAGATCGTTCTCAAAATACAAAACTTTTATCAATGTTTTGTATATTGAGAAAAAAATCTGAATTGAAAATCGAAATGTAAAACTAAACTTATTTTAAACTTAAATTGTGGCTTATTCCCGTTAAAAGTAGTAATTTCAAGATGCTATAAGAAAATAACTTCAGAACAATATTTAATTTCTTTATGCAATTTAGTTCCAGGATTTGGATATAGACATGTACAAATAGGATTATTATTTTTAATGCTTGCCATTGGTTATGCCATGAGAGTCAATTTATCAGTAGGCATCGTTGCGATGACTAATGGAAACACAACAGAAAATCATGATGTACCGGTAAGTAAAAAGTTTATATTATGATGATCAGTAAAAAGTCATAGAAAAAGTCAAAGTAATCAAGAAAATTAATTAATAAAATAATACTAGGTTGCTAGTTTACGTAGCACTCTTTCTAGTTTACATTTTCTTCTACTTTCCTGATTAAAAATAAATTCATGTCTATCTTTATAAACCGCCTCCTCGAGATTGGGTGACTTTTCCCCTCACAGTCCTCTTGTGGACAGCCTGTAGTGGTTATATTGCCTACTACACTCGGATTGCATATAGGGGGTTGAAAATTGGGGACACAAATTACTAAACTGGGGATAGAGTACGCAAAACAAACCGGAACGTTTGCAAACAGCTACTCTTGGTTTGTTTGGAGAGCTGGGTCATCAGAAAGTTAATTAAAAGGGGACTGGAATGGAGTAACTACAAAATGAGAATTAAAAAGCTACCTACACGGGTTTCCTGGACAAAACAACATAAGAAGGTACCTAAGCTATTTAAAATGGACGCCGCTTACAAGAATTCTCCTGCTGGGTAAAAAGATAGACTTTTATTTTCTAAAAAACACATCAAAAGGGTAAGAATCTTTTTAAATGAAATTTTTTAGGGATAAACATTACATATTTATTATTATCTCACCATAAACAGTTACAAATAATGACAAAATACCAAAAACAAACTTACAATGTTGCTATCGGTTTACAACTCTAGACGTTGGAGAGAGAATAAGAGACTTAAATTATTAATAAATTAAAATCATCTAGATCTTTCAATGCAGTTTACATTAAGGTCAACCTTTTTTAAAAACAAAACAAAACAAATTCAAAATGTATGGTTAGGTCATCGAGTAATAAGACAAAAGAGGGAATCTAATCCTTATGAAAAGGAGACCAAAAAAGTGGCCTCTGATGGCGGACATATCCGGAAATGCGAATGCGCGAAATTTAAATTTTCCGACACTTATCAACAGTAGCTATTCGCTCCGTGCGTGACCATGGTAGGGATACATTAAAACGATGCCAGCGTGCGTAGCGGCGAAATATGACAAAATTGGAATATTGGACAAAATATTTTTACGCATAAATTTTATCAAAAATGTGTGCAAATACATGTTGCGTATTTAATTGTGCTAATAATAGCAAAAACAGTGAGTTTAGATTTTATAGGTTCCCAAAGATTACTTATAAATTAGAGAAAAGAAAAAGATGAATTCGTGCTATTACTATGAAAAAGTAAATATCACATAATTTAATTTTTATGCAATTGAAATAGGAAAAATTTAAATAATTTACCTTGAATGATATTTCATAAGGCTTCAAGCTAACTGCAGATGACTTTAGCTTTTATATCATAACTTTTACTATTATTGCTTTTAATTATATGCTCTTTTGCGTGAAAAACTTGATTTGCCAGCACTAGATTTTTCCCTTTCTTTTCCGTTTGGAGTTGAAAAGATATATTATGATGAATTTTGAGAATCCCAGTTTTTAATACTACATTTATTTTGTACATAAACTGAAAAAATATAGTTAAAAAACTGATTTATTAATAATTGTCAATTTCGCATGTATTTAACAATGTCAAACATATGTCATATGTTTAACCTGAAAATTGGGACTCCAAAATTGTCAGATGAAGGCGGTAGGTGTCGCATCAGTCACGCACGGAACGAATATAATATTTTTCAGAATGTGTCTTAGACGAGAAAGTTTTAATTAATTATTAATGATAAGAGTCTAAAATGCGACACAATTGTTAAAAAACTTCAATATAAATAAGATTTCATGTGACATTTAGGACAAACAATAACATAACCAAACTAAATTTGATGATGTCAAACAAGGAAAGAGACGGTCTTTCCTTGTTTAAAGTGGCCTCTAAAGATCGCACTTCCTGTCTAACAATATGTTTGCCCCCACTACCTTTACATTCCCTCTATTGTCTTTTTGCTCGATGGGTTAGGTATATACCAAATGTCAAGAAAATAATGCTAACTGTCATATCTCAAGATTAAATTTTAAAACTTTTTAAGAATAATTAATATGACAAATAGCCACTCCCCAATATTTATAACTTTGCTTATTACAATTTTTTAAACTTGTCATGAAAATAATTATTGATGAAAAATGTCTATTTTTTATTTAAATTTAACAAAAAAAAAGTACCTGATTTCACTGTATAGGTACTATATTTCCCTTAAAAGTTTTGGGGCTGGAACTGGTTTTCTAAACACTGCAAAATAACATAAATGCGTCTCACAAGCTGCAAAATGGTCTGGAGTGACCCGAGAAAACAAAATGAGGATGAAAGCGGCGCACTGGATTATGAAATATTTAAAGCTTGGCTTTTAAAAAACTCAAACTCCTTGGAACCATGTGGACATCTATAAAGTTGTTTGGAACGCCGTCTTACAAAACCCTCAGGTGAAACACAGCACGAAACAAAACAGTGATTACTCAGACAAAAACTGACACATTGCATTTGAGTGAATTCAGAATTCCAAAAACAAAAATTGCTGGTTCCTTCAGGCTACCCACGCCGCGTCTTCTCTCTTTAAAATCTTAATCCAACCTCATTAACTGGGATTAAACTCCACACTGCTACTATACTGCTCATTGTTCCATGACAAAAGACGAAAACCGAAAAAATATTACAAATTAGGCGAAAATTCGGACTAACACCGAAACCAACTGCCTTTGACAGAGGCTCCACCGATAGTGATGTAACTATCTTCCCCACAATACTTTCTCAGCGATCTAAGTGGATATTTATTTAACGCGCAATATTACGCGGAAACGATCAAAGAAATACCAAAAGAATACGCATACGCATTTTAATACATACAGGCTGATTTTTAATACATACGAAAGAAAATACAAATGCTACAAGCCAATGCTTAAATATTCTACTGGTGATTTATCTCAAACGAATCTTTCGATGATAAATCTAGTAATATTTTTCTTTTTAAAGACTATTGTTTATACCCCTTTTTAATCTTAGATTCTATACTTATTTCCTAATAACACTAACCAGATGCACATCCTTATATTAAAATAGATATGGGTATTGTTCGTATAAATGTACAATATGTGGTTTTTTTATTTTATTTCGAATTCTGTTTTAGATATTTTTGTAAATCCAAAACTATTGAAAACAACGGAGTTGTTTCAAGAAGCATTTTTTTTTGGTTTGGCTGCAAAAGTGCTGCAAATATTTTTTATTTATCGTCAAACCTTGAAATTGTCACTTCGGTAACTGTCCTACAGTCACAATTTGTAGTTTAAACCCAAATATATGTAACACTTTTTGACTTATATACCTTTTAGAGTCATTTTTATAGAAAATAAATATTTAACTTTTTAGTTAAATATAAAAAAAAATTAGTTCTTACCAATAAAAATATTGTAGATTAGAAAGTTATGTCCCAGACCTCTCGCATCATTTCGGTAACACAACTTTTATGCGAAGCAATCGCAATACCGACTTAACTTGTTGTTTATATCTTTCGAGTTCCATGTTTGCGCGTAGCGTATATATGAGTTAGTGGCAGTGGTTTTTATGTAATATGGTAAGTTTTTTTTTAATAAATTAATGAATGACTGATTTTTTCGGCGTATACTTATTATTGACCATTTCGGTAATTACTTTTTCATCTAAGTTTTTTGCCTCAGATAAGCAATATAATGTATTTTTCTTTTTAAAAAATAGGACATGTTTACTAACCTCAAAAATTTTAATAATCTAAGTTACTCCTAGAGGGAGCTAAATTACGAAATGTAAGATTTCATCATTTCGGTAACGTCATTTCGGCAACATTTTTAAAAGTAATATTGTGTTACCGAAATGATATTTTGTTACAGAAATGATTAGTTTCTTTTTATTTATAGATGGACAGCGAAAAATTAAAATGTTTAAAAGAAAAGTTAACACAAGATAGAAAAAATTCCTGCGAATTAAATTTAAAAATAAAGAAGAAAAAAAAAATAAAAGTAAAACTTTTTTAAATCCTAAAAAGTCCGAACTTTTTGAAGAAGATATTATGACTAAGCCTTCAACTTCAAATGGATATTCTTCGGTCCAAACTAGCATCTCCAAGCCGAAAATTCAAGTAAATTTCAAGTTCGAACAGAATAAAAGTAATGTCGAGCCGAAAAAAACATTGAAACTTGAACTGAAAAAAAAAGTACATAATATCCACGACAATAATAATGATAAAACAGCGCAAGCAAAAATAAAAAAAAGAGTACTTGCAGAATAATAGAACACCAACGACAATAAAAATTAAAAAGAGGAAATGTAACGAAAAGATGAAAGAAGAAGTAAGAAAAAGAGTTCAGAAACATAGAATGAAATTAACAGAGCAGCAACTTGAAGAAAAAAGTAGAAAAGATCGAGAGCGATACAAAAAAAAGAAAGAAGAAGGACAAGTTAAGTTTATAAAAGACTTGACACCACGACAGCAAAGAATAAAAAGAAAGGAATGGCGTAAAAACAGCAAAAGATATAGAGAGAAGAAAAAAATGAAAGGTGAAACCGAAAGATTTGCTAGAGATAATTCACCCCCAACAAGTGAAGATGTAGTTACAATTGAAAATCAGGACGACCTTTTTCATGAGGATCTTGCGAAAAATTTAGATGTTATGGATGTTGTCAAAAAGAAAAACACACCTTCAAGGCAAAAAAATGTTGGCCGACAAATAGTGAAAAAAGAAAAATCTTCATGGTATAGAAAATTAAAAAAGGCAGAATTAAAAATTAGAGACCTAACCAAACAGTTAGCAAGAGATCGAAAAAGGTTACAAAGGGAGAAATCTAAATTTAAACAATTTTTAAAACAAAAAAAAAAGAAAATGAATCTCCTGAAACAAGGGTGAGTAAATTGATAGCTGATATCAAATTTCCAGATAAAATCAAAAGAAAGTTAGTTTTTGGGGAAGTTCTTAAAGATCAATTAGAAGAAAACGCCAAAATGCTAAAAAATCACAAAGCTAAGAATACATTATCGATTGTGTCTGGAAGCATAATAAATAAATATCGTTTAAGGGGCGAGACTTCAAAAATACTTTCGTACAAAATGCATTGCAAATTCATTAATAATTCCCAATACGAAAGAAAAAAACGTAACCATGCAGTTATCCAAAAGTTGTCAAAATCAGTGCAAATTTTTTTAGAAAGGGATGAAAACTCAAAAATGTGTCCAGGAAAAAAGGATTATATAACTAAAAATAAAGTTAAAAAAACAAAAACGTATTATGTTGGATTCCCTTTGCAGCTTACACAAAAAATATTTAGCAACTGAATTCGCATTTCAAGTTTCCAGAACAACTTTTTGTAGATTTAGACCTTTTTGGGTAGTCGCTCCAAAGCAAAGTGATAGAGAAACTTGCGCTTGCTCAAAGCATTCAAATGTAGAAATGATATGTGCATCACTGTATAATGCTAAAACTATACCAACTAAGAAACCGGACGAACTTTTAAAAGCTATGGTTTGTGATGAAAAAGATATAGATTGCATGCTGCGCAATTGTCCTAGATGCAAAGAAAGAACAATTCCTGTAAAAAGCGAAGTAAATGAAAATTTAAACAAAATCATAACATACGCAGTGTGGGAATCAAAAGCCGAAAAAAGGGAAATCAAAGGAGAGTTTAAAGATGTTCGCAAAACAGTAAAAATTCAAAAAATGATATTGTTAAAAACATTTTGAACATTTTACAGGTTCAATTTACGCCGTACATGAAGCATGTTTTTTTTTATGTGACACCAGCAGAAAGAATTGCAAAGACTAAAACAGTTCTTGCAACCAAATGAAGTTTTACTACAGATTGATTTTTCCGAAAATTATATTGCAAAATATGAAAGCGAAATCCAGTCAATGCACTTTGGTGCTTCAAAAAAGCAGATTTCACTACACACTGGTGTTTACTATTACAGAACAGAAAGTGATGATGCTCTTGTAAAATCTCAGAGCCTTATGGCAATAAATACATAGTTATAAATGTGCGTTTTCTTTAAAATAGTATAAAAGTTATCATTTCCGAAACGTTGAGTCATTTCGGTAACGCCTGCAAAATAATTTTTTTAACATAATTTTTTTAACTAAAACCAGAAAAAACATTATAGTTGTTAATTATAAATAAACTATAAGCTAACAAGTTGAAAAAACACTACCATTAATTTCATTAGAGCAATTTAGAATTAAATAAAGTCAAATATATTGTACATTTAAAAAAAAATAGTTATTGTAACATATGAAAAACAGTTTTAAACTTTAGCTACCACCTAAGATGACTTGTAGTAAAATACTATCATTTTAGGTTAGTTTCTAAAAAAATATAAAATTTAAAAATGTATTTAGTCCTATTTATAGGGTGTTACCGAAATGACTATTTTTTTGCTGTTTCACACCAAAAAGAACGATAAAAAAATATCTATTACTAATTAAGCTCTGCTTTCATAAAATCATAAAACTTAGAGTATGTAAGAACTGAAAACAATAAAAAAAATAACTTAATTACGAACTTTATTTTTTTAGTATTATAAAAGTCAAATTACCCATTTATATGAACAGTAACCATATGGCATTGTCATTGTCATATAACGTTTTTCAATGTATATTTTCTTGTTTTCTTCGATGTTCTGTAAATTTTTTCGCATATACACAGAAATCTATAAATTTAAAATATTTCTGTCTATTTTTCGAAACGTGTAAGACTAGGTAACTGAAATGATTCACTTAATTTAGTAAAAATAATCATCAACTAGGTACTATTTTAGTTCTTATGAGTTATTTACGCCATAACTTTTATCATCGTTATCGATATTTTTAATAAATAAATTATAAACTTTGAAAATAAGGCTATTATCGAGCACAAGTTAGCACAAGTTAACTTGTGCTCGATAATAGCCTTATTTTCAAAGTTCATTTATTCGAACATTCAACCTCATTTCATTTAAATAAATTATAGTTGCATGTAGTTACGGTATATTAATAAGTTACTAAATTATGAACAAATTTAAAAATTTATTTGTGAAATATTTCGACTAAATATACTTGTTCTTAAGAAGAAAATGAATTTGAAATAATTCCGTCTTAATCACTCTTCTATGACCGGCATGTCAATTACGTCTTAAATTTGTCTTAAAAGTTATTCCAAAAACACCATTATCTGTTGAACGTTAAATATCGACCACCTTATTCTGCCTTTCGACCTTCTGTATCTAAAAATGCTCTCTTTAGTCATGGTACTTATGAATTTGGCGAGAGGTTATGTTATCTGGTAATTCAAATTCTCCACTTTTTAAGCCACATGAGTTTATACAAAATAAATATAATTGTAGACTAAATTTAAATAATAAAATATTAAATAATAATACATACGATATCCGACATTCGGCCACCCTGTAAATAATCCGACTCAGATTTTGCGTGGTTCTCTATCCATGGCTTCCTATACTGCACACGTTGATGTGTTGTGAGGTTCATTATGACATCCTAATTCTTTAACACGTATATGTAATAAAATCAATAAACTAACAACTTTATCAGATGAACAACAAGGATTCAGATCCGGAAGATCCTGCGTAGACGCCGTATTTGTACTAAGACAATTCACAGAAAAGACCATCGAGTAAAATAAACCAGCATATCTATGTTTTATAGACCTGACAAAGGCTTTCGATCTCATTCAAGTCGAAGACGTCTTACACCTACTGTATAAAAGAAACATACCAATCAATATTATACAAACCATCGAAAACATCTACCTCCAAAATCGAATACAGGCAAAGATGAATGAAGAACTAACACAGTGTATACCAGTACAACGCGGAGTCAGACAGGGTGACTCGTTGAGCCCACTTCTCTTTAATATAATAATGGACGAAATAATACAAGCAGTACGTAAAGGTCATGGCTACAGAATGGGGAAGAAAGAAATCCAAATATTATGTTATGCAGACGACGCCGCGTTAATTGTCGAGACAGAAGACGAGCTCCAAAGATTAACACATATCTTCAATACAACAGCTAAGAAATACAATATGATAATATCAGCAGACAAAACCAAATGTATGACAACATCTAAACACCCACTACGGTGTAAAATCGAAATTGATGGAAAAATAATAAAGCAGGAAGCAAGGTTTAGATATTTGGGAATAGATATAACTAGTTACGGAGATGTTGAAGAAAAAGTACGACAACAAAGCTTAAAAGCAAGTAAAACGGCGGGTGAACAAACACCTAAGACAAGATACAAAAACAAAAATCTATAAAGCAGCAATTAGGCGGAGACAAGACCTGACACATCTAAAATGAGACGACTGGATAGGGAGAGAAGTCTATTGGATAGGGAGAGAAGCAAAAAAATAAGGAGAGCATGCAATATAGAAGACATAAATGTATGGGTGACAAAACGAAAACAGGAGTGGAACGAACATATCAGTAGAATGGCAGAGAATATAATAATACAAATAGCACGAGATAAGTCACCAAATGGACGAAGCAGTATTGACAGACCAAGAAAAAGATGGTGCGACAATTTAGGAGGCTAATATTGAAGAAGAAATAGGCTTTAAAGCCTACATACTAGAAGGAAGAAGAAGAAAAAAAAGTATATGGCATTTGGCTTAACTTCTACTACCAAGTACAGTTCTAAATATTTTCTCATTAGCTTGAGTCCTCCACCGAACTGTGTCCTCTTGATTGCCACTAATTCCCCTTTTCGATACCTTCTCAACCCTTTTTATCGTAGATCATACCTGCATCTATTTTTCCAATTGTCTGGTCCTCCATTTTCATTCTTTTCTTGCTGCTCAGTTACACCTTTATTTCGGCTATGTTCTTCTTCCGTTTCTTCTAAGTCATTGTCTTTGAAGTCTTGGTTTAGATTTTCTTCTATGTTCTCGCCATTTTGCTCTATTGATACATCCTGACTATCTTTTTCTCTGTTTCAGTATTCTCCTCCAGTTGAGAGCTACCATCTGTTGTATATATCCCATTAGCTGTAGTTTCTCCATCAGCGGTATTTACTTCATTTGCTATTGTTACTTCTTCATCCTCTGTTCTATTTTCTTTATCTTTCACACTTTTTTTACACTAGATTTTCATTTTCTATTCAGTCTTCTTTATCTTTTACTTCATCGGAATATCACTCTGTTTAGTAAATGATTCTATTTAATATTTATGTTTATTAAAATAATTGCGTCTTAAATACTCTTATATGACCGGCATGTCAGTTACGTCTTAAGTTCGTGTTAAAGATTATTCCAAAAACACCATCACCTATGTTGAACGTTGAATATCCACCACCTTAATCTGCCTTTCAACCTTCTATATCTAAAAAATGAGTTCTTTAGTCGTGGTACTTAATAATTTGGTGAGAGGTTGTCTTGTCTTATAGAGTAAAATACTCTACTTTTATACACATGTTTATTAAAATTATAATATTATATTATACAATATTTGTATTGACTACTGATTTAGCGACTATGCAAAAAAATACACTTGCATATATTTTATTTTCCTAATTTTGTTCTGTTTTAGTGGTATCCCTGGGAAAATAAAAGTGTAATTCTTTCTTCGTTTTTCTGGGGCTACATATGTTTACAAATATTTGCTGGAGAGCTTGGTCAAACTTATGGTACTAAATGGTTGGCTTTCGTTGCAATGGCCGTTAATTCAACAGCTTGCTTCATTATTCCTTTCATGGCTGAATGGCTCGGATCCCCTGGAGTTATCATATGTCGTGTGGTACAAGGATTGTCACAGGGGTTCTTTTTCCCTTCGGTGCACAATATTTTGGGGAAATGGGCTCCATTAGACGAGAGATCGTTTCTTTCTATGATAGCTTTTGCAGGCAAGTATTACTATATTAATAAAAATAATACAGAGATTTTTATATACAAATAAGGAGACAATAAAGAATGGAAAGTACCCAGTCGACACCTATTGTTTTCTCTAATACTAAAGTAATTCCAAAAAAACACAGAGCTTTTATTATTATTCTCTCCAAACATTAAGTATCGCTTCATTAGGCCGAGTCTAACACGGTTTTCCTTTGCAACTTTTTTTGATCTGAGGCGTTTTTTTTTTCTAATTTTTATGGAATATGTCGATTTTCCGACATACCAAAAAGTTACAGATACTGCTATTCTTTTTAATTAAATTATTAAAATATTAAAATAATTAAAATTATTAAAAAAGTGTGTCCACAGTCGCACTTCATACTGATGTCGCGTAGAGAATAATAGACTGCATAATTCTATGTAAAACCCCCCTCCTTTTGCATTTGGTTTCTTTGTTATTGGTCATTACCATAAATAGCACAGCCGTTCTTTCCGTCACCTTACGGATCACCCTACGGACGTGATCCTCCAACTGTTATTCATATGTTATATTACCTCCAAGTACTTAACGTACTTTTTAGGAGTGGTCCGTACACCCGCACAATCAAACACCATTCTATCTCTTTCTAGGTCCTTTAAGAACTACCGCTTCAGTCTTCTCCGCCGCGATAATTAAACCATAATCATTCATCCAGTCCTGGATAAGTACGCTTTTTCTTCTTTCTTGTATTCCATACCAGGAACAAGGGTTGCTCCCTGTTCCGCGCTGCCATCAGCAGCGCGAGATTATATGCGAATGCGACGTGTAACCCCCTCTCCAAATTTTATTTTATGACCCCGTCGTATGCAAGGTTTGACAGTACCGGGCCAAAGATGGACTCTGGGGTACCCCAGCCATAACGTCTACAAACACGCCTCTTTCCATCATGATTTTGCTCTCGGATAGATAATCCAATACAATATTCATCAAACATGAAGGACAGTTCCTCGTCGATGGAGGACCCAGCACAGAGATCCACTGCCACGTATTAAAAGCGTATCGGACGTCAAAGACGAGTAGTACCGCCCACTTGTTGCCGCTTTCCCTTCCCTTTACCACACGAAACACCCTCATCACCGCATCTACCATACACTTACCCTTGCAAAATTTATACTTTCTTTGGGACAATCCCCCAGACTTCTCTATCATCTCTTCGATTCTCTTACGCAACATCCCCTCGTACAACTTGCTTATGCTCGAAAGAAGATAATTATGTCGATACTCCCTGTAAAATAATAGGAATGGGAGCGTTATGTGAAGGTAAGGAAAACGCTGTCACCAAATGAAATACACAATAGATCCTCATGGGATGCTAACCCTGCGAGCGGCTGCAAGGAATACTGGTCACACTGGTCTGGAGGGCTGGCTCGTCTTCGTGGATTTACGAGAAGATAAGGGATTTCGGGATAGGGGTAAGGACTCCTAGGTCTCAGGTCCTGTAAGAGCAGAGGTTATGGGCTTACTTTTGAAGCCGGAGATATGCATACGCAGAAATCTCGTGTTCTCCTAGTCTCTAGAGAGTCGGACGAAAGGAACATAAAAAAACTAATTTAGAGTCAACAATATATTGAATCTACCCTGGAGTTACAAATACAATCGTTAACACTTTATTCTGCGCGTCGGGAGATGATGAAGCAAGATAGTGAAGAGTTGACAGTTGTACTAATATAATTACACAGGTTAGTATAAAGAAATCTGTTACCTTATGTGTATATTAGGGCTTTCAACCACGACATGTTCAGTCTTCTGGAACTCGGTCAGTTGAGGGTTGCGAACTTTCGAGCTGCCACAATAACCGGACTACACGCGATACTATGCCAGATGATACGCGTCCCCCGGAGAATCACCGACTGTCTCGCGTACTGGACGCTCCCGGAGGCAATTACTGCCTTGGGCAGGCACAGCTGCCCCGTTGAATTGTGGGTCCTATATTGCATTACAATAACAGTTTTTGTTTGACGTGCTTTTTCTATGTTTAAACGATTAACAAACAATGCAATAACTAGGTCAATTTCTTTGTGTGATTTAAAATGCAAATTTTACTGTAATAATTATCCCTTATTTGATTCGGAATATATAATAATTATCTCGAATAATTATTATCTTTTCTATGCTACTTAACCATTTAATTCAACTTCTCACTCACTTACACTACGTTTACATTACATCCCCAGCTCCTTTAGATACGTGTACGACCCTCGAGATTTTACAAGGCTCCGGAAACACCTGTGTCTTAAGCAGGGCGTTTATATGACCCAAGAGGTTTATATTCAGACATTTAATCGCCTCTGTCACCTGTCAGTATTTCGTCTATATCGGGTACCTAGAGCGAGTTAAGGGGCTTCACCGCCGGCGAAAGCTCGGCCACCTACTCCGGTCTACTCAGCAATCGACTCCATGCACCTGACTAATTATATGAATATTTTATTTATTTTGTATGTGCCGTAACCTTCGATTGTAATAAAATTATTGTTTTATTCTAGGACCATCGTTTGGTACAATTGTATCACTAATTGCTAGTGGAGCAATAGCATCTTCTTGGGTAGGATGGCCGTACGCATTCTACATCTTTGGAGGATTGGGTTACGTTTGGATGCTAGCGTGGGCATTCCTTGCAGCGAATACCCCTGCCTTACATCCAAATATTTCCAAATCAGAAAAAGAGTATATAGAAAAAAGTCTTAGTGTTAAGACTCAAGTGGTAAGTGAAAATATTGTTCTAAAGCTATTTTCTTGTATTAATTACTATTTAACTGGGAATAAGCCACAATTAAAGGTTAAAATACGTTTATTGGCGTTTAAATTTACACTTCGGAAATCGTTCTCAAAATACAAACAGTAAATTTACTGTTACTTGATGCTAGCTGTATACTTAAAATTAAAAATATATATTTTTTAGGTTCCGCCTACGCCTTGGAAGAAAATATTTACCTCCGTACCTGTATGGGCATTTATTATTACTATGTTTGGCCAAAATTGGGGTTATTCCACACTATTGACAGAAATACCAAACTACTTGGACAAAATTATGAATTTTAAAATGACATCGGTAAGATATTTTTAAATAATTTATAGATTTTCTTCTTCTTCTTCTTGTGCCATACGCCTGGAAGCCTGTAATCGTTTCATATTCTGTTCTAAACTACTACTATAAGTTTTCCATCCTCAGCCACTTTGAAATGTCGGACGTCCAGAAAATGTCTGGACATCCAAGTACATCAGAGTATGAAGGTCCAATTAACGTCCATATTTATTACACCCGAAGTACGTCCAACGTTGTACGTCCCAAAGACATCCGTTTAAAGTCCATTAACGTTAGGAGCAAAACTGGACCTGTTTTGGACGTCGAGAGGATGTCATGTCTTATTAGAGACATTTATAACATATTCGTTAATATTACTGATGATAAAGAAACAAAATGTTCAAATAATTTAACTTTATATCCAAATATGTAAATAAAAATCTATTATAAAACTCTTTAAACAAAATCTGTAACCAAATTCTAATGTTTTTATTTTGAGTTTCATGAGGTTCTATTATCTCAGATCTTTGTTTGCGCATATCAGAGACAAAGTGAAATTTGCCGAGTAGTAGATTTATTTCAGAAGGGTTCCCAGAGAAGTTCTCTTTTAAACATCATGCATAAATATTAGTCTGTGGTGTATTAATATTAGAAAAGTATTAAGGTACGGACATACCGAGGATCTACTCGTCATCGATGTAAACCTCGACCGCTACCGCGACCTCCACCGCGCACATCTATCTATCTTCGGTATTTCCATACCCTCAGAATAGATCACTTGCATGTAGGTGCAATTTTGTGTGATGTGATTTCTTCTTCAAGTTCCACTCCCATCGGAGATTGGAAATCATTCTGGCAATTATAATTTTGTTGGTTACGCGCCTGAATAGTTCAATTGAACTGCATCCAAACCATTCACGGAGATTGCGTAGCCACGAAATTTTACGTCTTCCTGCGCTTTTTCTACCTTTATTTTATCCTGCATTATATTCCTTAGTAGTTCGTATTTTTCACCTCTCATGATGTGCCCCAAGTATTCCAATTTCCTGATCTTTATGAAATTTAAAACTTCGCATTGTTTTCCTAGTTGTTCGAGAACTTGTTCGTTTGTTTAGCGATCCATCCATGATATTTTCAAAATACGTCGGTAACACCACATTTCGAATGCTTCTAGGTTATAATGTTGGATTTTTTAAGTGCCCAAGCTTCAACCCCATACAAAAGGGTAGAGAAATATAACATCGAAGCATTCTTATCCGGAGTGATATATTGATATCGCGATTGCAAAAAAGTTTTCTCTTTCTATTAAAAGTTGACCGTGCAATTTCAATATGGCATCTTATTTCGTTTGTCTGATCAGTATCTTCTATGATCCATGCTCCAAGGTATTTGTACGAAGATATTTGTTCAATTTCTGTATTATCTAGCTTAGCTTTAATGTTTTGTGCTTTTGTAAATACCTTGGTTTTCTTCAAATTTATTTTTAGTCCATAATCGTTGCAATATATATTTAGTTGTTCAGCAAGGTGTTGCAGTTCTTCTAGTGTTCCTGCCAGAAGGACGGTGTCGTCAGCATATCTTATGTTATTAAGTGGCTCACCGTTTATTATAAAGTCCCTCACTGATCTGAACTGAATAAGTTATTTAGACATTTTAATTATTTGGACACTTTTACTAAAACTTTACAGTATGCCTTACAATTGTTGTGTGCCACAATGCAATTTAGTTTACAATAAAACTCACGTATTCTAAAACGTTTCATAAATTCCCCTTGAATAAATCTTTACAAAACCAATGGTTGATCGCTATCAGGTCTGAAAAAACTATCAGCAAGCACACAAAAATCTATTCCAGACACTTTTCAAATGAAAGTTATACCGTTACAAGTTTGGGTACATTAAAAAATACTTATCCTAATTTCTTGCATTGTCACTGTCTTGTTTTTCTATGACAATATATCCTTAAAAAAGATGCAGTACCTTTAGTAAATTTACCAAAAAGAAAGTTGGAGACTCCAGTGAAGGACTCTAGGAGAAGTGATAGATATAGACAAAAACTTTGTGTAGCAGTATTGCCACCAAACAAGCAAAAAGAGCAAACATTAACAGAATTATTACAAACAGTTAACAAGAATGATACACAAAAGTGTGGTTCAACAGAGACACCTGCTAATGAAAATAAATCAGAGTTCAAAAACATGTATTACAACTCAAACCATGATAACACGGAATAGAAGTCAATTCATTTCTTATGACTTTTTGTCAGAAGAAACATTTTACTGGTTTTTCCAGAAAATTATTTACATGTTTTGTTGAATAGTTTGGAAATTCATACATTAAAATTCATAGTGCTCCTTCAGTGAAAAATGAACTGTTAATATCGCTTATGAAATATAGACTTATTTTGTTTTATTCTACATTAAAGCATTTTTTTATAATAGACACTCGAACTGCCCGAAAACTATTTGTTAAGTGGACCGTCCAAGCATCTTTACGCTTGCTTAAAAAAATTAACGTTGGGAACATTGCAACAACTTCAGAAGACCAGTACAAAATAATTCTGGACCGTACCGAAAGTCCAATACCTTTAAAATACTAATAACATAATCTGAAAAAGGTGAAATTATATATGTATCTGATGTTTATAAAGATAGTATTTCAGATTGCAGAAAAATTACATTAGAATTCGGAATTTTAGGACATATTGAAGAAGGAGAATTTATTCTAGCGGACAGGCGATTTGATATATCAGATATTTTAGAGAAAAAAAGGAACATTATTTAAATATCCCTGCATTTAAAAAGGGGCTCAGTTAACAGAAGAATGAAAAATAAAAACAAGGACCATTGCCAATCGTAGAATCATTGTTGAAAATATTATAGGATTGGCAAAAACCGTAAAATACTGAAAGATAGAATTTTTTTCAAATTATTCCCATATATGAATGAAATAATTTATAACTGTTTTATGATTTGTAATTTTAAAAATAGAATAAGTAACACTTTGTAAAAAATTATTTTATGCCTATATTGATTAATTGAATTCCTGGTGGGACAGCATTTTTTATTAGTTTCATATATTATAATATTTGTGATTTGTTACTAATTATCAACTTTATTTTTTTTAAAACTTGAAAAATATGACTTTAACAAGATTTAATTTGCGTTATCTCATTGGTTAACCATGAGACAAAATAAAAAAAAACAATTTTTTTCAAGTTGAAATATCCGTTATTAAAAAATGTTCAAACTAAAGATTAAATAACTCACTAATTTCACAAATTTTAAACACTGTGAAACTATGGCTAAAAAACTGCAAAAATGTATTAAAATGTATATCTCAATATGAGGAATAATATGAGGTTATGATTTGATACCAAACCTCGAAGTAAGCGACCCTTACGGATATTTTTTTAACTGACTTATGGCATATGATCTATTAGCGCTTCGTGGTAAAGGGATTAAGAGACTGTTTTCCTTTCTTATGTAGATTTCAGAATTTGTTATCGATATGATTGATAAGAATTATTACCATTTCAACTAAAATTTCATACGTTTTTAACCGAATATCTTTTTTTTTCAGAACAGTCTTTTATCGGCTGCGCCATATGCAACGTGCTTCCTATTAAGTTTTGTATTTGGAGCTATCTCAGATTTCTTAATTAATAGAAAATACTTTACAAGACAGTTTGCACGGAAATTCTTTAACACAATTGGTAAGTATCATCATAGAGTATTAGTTACTGCATAATAAATAAAAATAGATTTTTGTTCTATGTCATTTGATACGTTCAGATTAAAGGACGTTATTAAATTATTGTACGCACGAGAGGTACCTCTAGGAATAATCGAAATGATCGAAAGTAGATACCAAAACAAAATAATAAAAATAAGAGTAAAAGAAGAACTAAGTACCATAAGGATCAGTTTTGGGACCTCTGCTATTCTTGTTATATAAATGATTTAGTAAGTGCGTTGGAAAACACCAACTGTGCTCTTTTTGCAGATGACACAACCTTATTATGTAGAGCAGAAAACCCAGACAATAGTATTTAGTTCCAACAGGTGGGTTAAACCATCTGAACCAGTAAAGTTACTAGGTGTTACTATGGATACAAGGTGGAAATGATCGCACCATATTGAAGGATTGTGTGAGAAGTTCGCCTCACAGATTTTTGTCATGCGCAGATTGGCTACTTCTGTGAGTCGAGATATTCTTAGGTCAGTTTATTTTGTAATGGTTTATAGTATCCTGACATATTGCATAATTCTTTGGGGAAACTCGTCCCTAAGCATATAAAATTTTCACTTTTCAAAAGTAGCAATCCGAATTATTGACGCAGAATATCGCGCCAGCTGTAAAACCCTTGTTTAAAAAGTATGGCATTCTTCCTTTACCTTCAATATAAATATATATTTAAAAGTTTGTTAACTGTTCATAATAATATACAAGATGTAAAAACACATGCTAATCAACATAAGTACAATACAAGAAACAAAAGTCATATCATTATACCTTATTCCAGATTGTGTGTTACACAACTTAATACAATAGATTATAATCTGTATAATTGTTTTTTAAACCTGAACAAAAATATTAATATTAAGGCAATAAATTCTAAACAATTTTATAAATTAGCAAAACACTTCTTGTTGGAACAGTTTCTATAGTATACAGGAATTTGTTTGTTTGAGCTCCTAATGTGGTTTTTATGAAAACTATTTTACACATAACTGAATTGTTTTTTTTTATATTTTTATATTTCTATTTTTCACTGTATATGTTATATTATTTATTATTTTTTAGTTATTTCCTATTTATACATAAGTGACTTATTTATATTGTGACATGACATGTAGTGTTTACTAAGTAAAAATTGTCAACAAACTTCTATCTATCTATCTATATATTATCAATAGGATTCTTAAGAATGTTACAATCTAATCAAACAGTATGATCAATGACTAATTTAAATTATTACTTACAACTTACGACTAAGAACAAAACGCACTAGTATCTAAATATAGTGCACAAATAATAACATGTACATCACTTGCACTATACTCTGCTTTTATTTAACTAACTCAGAAGGTTTCTTTCTCTTGAGTCTTCTAACCAAATCCGTGTTGTCAAGGAGCTGAATGAAACATTGATGTTTTGAAGAAGTCGTTGTTCGTGACTCTTAGCAAATTTCTCAATGGTCTTGTTAACAGTATCCACTTCTAGGTCTATAAGAAGGTCACTGTTCCTATAGTACCAAGTAGTACTATGGTACCATCATCCATCGCTGGATGATGTCTAAATTATTGTTACTAGCACAACTCCACGGTTGGGTGTCATATATCCATATAGGTTTTAGAATATGTTTATACAAGAGTATTTTGTTGTAGATGTGAAACAATATGGGGGAATAAATATATCAGGAAAGAAATAAAACGCAAAATTTACATTTACGTTAGTAATCGGACCATATAATGACATACCCTACACAGACAGAACCCTTAGAAAAATTAATGGTAATATGGGACAGAGCTAGAAGCCCATATATACTAATTAAGAATGAGAAGAGTAGAAACGAATAATCATAAAAGTAGAATGATAATTTATTGTATTAAAGATGATGAAAAACGTTTCCCTAATAGGAAGACGATCAGGGGGGACACATTGAAAACCTGATAGTCATGTCTACATAAAAGAAGAAGGTTTTTATACTTTTTTAATAACGGCAGTTTTTCTCGCCAAAAAAAACATCGACGCAGGTTATACACGGAAAAAAAGAAGAGTATAGACGTGATAAAAGAGAGGAAAACGTATCCATCGACGTAAGAAGAGGAATACGAACAGAACACTCTCAATGAGATACAAAGTTTATTCGATAAAAATGAAACGAGAAAATACTACAAATCTTTAATTAATAGCCGTCGAGATTTAAATCAAGATTAAAAATTTGTAAAGACACTAACAGTGAAATTCTACATGATAAAAACTCAGTTCTTAACAGATGGGCACAACATTTCAGCGAACCTATAAATATAAACGATATTGAAGGAGTTTACAACATAGACAATCAACAAAATCTACAACGTCAATTACACAGTGAAAGACCCAACAGGAGAAGAAGTGTCAAATGCCATCTTAAAGCTCAAAGACAATAAAGCCCCAGGAATCGATGAAATATGTTCGGAAATGTATAAAAAAGGTTTTGATCAACTTTTTGCAGCAATCAGAATTAATAGGTACCAGAAGAGTGGCTAAAGGTAATAATATGCCCATTCCATAAAAAGGGTGATTAACTGGAGTGTAAGAACTACATATAGAGGGATTACTTTGTTAGCATATGTGTATAAAATCTTCGGCAATGTATTGTTTGAAAGACTTAAACATTTTACGAAGGATATTGTTGGTCAATATCAATGAGGATTTACTGCTGTAAAGTCAACTACACATCAAATTCAAGCACATAGGCAGATTCTAGAAAGGTCACTAGAATATAACATAGATATACACCATCTCTTCGTCTACTTCAAAGCAGCCTATGACATTGTGAAAAGAACTGCATTATATAATGCAATGATAGACTTGGGGATCCCACCTAAGTTAGTTAAGTTGACCCAACTACCAATGCAAAACGTAAGCTCATGCGTTAGATTTGAAGGAGAAAACTAAGTTCTTTGACATTAATAATGGTCTAAGACATTTTTTTAAGAACGTAACTTCAAATTAAAGTGCGCTAGAAATATTTGCAATATCTCGCCTTCTATGACAAGCAGAATATTCTATATATATATTATATGATATATATTATATATATTATATAATATTTTTCAGTTGTTTTTTTCTTTACTATACTATATACCAATACAAATATTTAGATATATAAATACCACTTTTGGCAATGTTGTGGTAGAAGTAAAACTACAAACAACAGCAGCTAAAATAACAGCAAAATATGGCAAAACAAAAACATTAGCATTTAATCAATCCCAGAAGCAAGACCAGAAATGTCAAAATCCAAAAGACTATAACATAATGAAGAGATTTCGTAAATAGATGAAAGAAAACTCCAAGAAAACTTCCAAGAAAACAGAAAAAGGACGAAAGCATAGGAGACACATGCTCAGTCGAAAACATTAACAATTGAGCGATAAAAAGAAAAAAATTAAACGAGTATAGTAACATAATGAAAAAAGGAAGAATCGTGAGAATCTCACAGGATAAAATACCAGTAGGACATCAGAATGTTAGCCGTAAAAGTTAATATTGATGATTTAAGTATGGATTAGACAAGTATATGAAGGTAAAGAAGAAGACGAAACTCCTGGCTAAAGAATATACGGGAATGGTATAGCTGTATACCATAACAACGAATTGTTTCGATCAGCAGTTTCGAAAATACGTATAGCCCTGATGATCGCCAATCTTCGGAACAAAGATGGCACTTGAAGAAGAGATGAAGGTAAAAGTTTAAATTTACCTAAAATCAACATTTAAAATAGAAGAATATCTACTTTAACTAAGAGATTTCAGGATCCATCGTTACTCTATATTTTTTCAACTATATTTAATACACTTTACGCAACATTAATACTGTTTATTCTTTACTATTATTATTTCCATATTATTCTATTATATTTCTTTATCATTTACATAGTATATCTACATATATTTTCTTTTTTGTCTGGGAAACTTCCACTGTAACAACTGCTTAGCAAAATATAGTAAAATATACCTAATCTTCTTGGAAATATTTAAAATAATGTATCTAATTGCAATATGTAGACTAACTTATTTTTTTTCTTTCTAGGAATACTTGGGCCTGCGATTGCATTAGTAGTTTTAAGTTTTCTTCCAGACTCCCAAAGTACTCTAAGTGTTATCATGTTAGTCATTGCTGTAGGCATAAATTCCGCAGCTTTTGTAGGATTTCAAATTAATCCTGTTGATTTGGCACCCAAATATTCAGGAGTACTCATGGGTATTGGCAATGGATCTTCCAATATATTCTCAATTTTGGCTCCTTTAACTGTTCAGTTTGTGGTTAATCCTGAGGTAAGTTGATATGTATGCCAGTAAATATTAACATCATTCAAACTTATGCCCCTACGGCCGATAAACCCATAGAAGAGCTAGAAGCGTGGTATGCTGACGTAGAAAAACTAATAAAGATGACCAAAAAACGAGACCTAACATTTATCTTAGGTGATTTTAATGCCAAGTTAGGTAGAGGAAAAGTTTCTGGATTGATCGGAAACTTCGGACTTGGAGCAAGGAACGACAGGGGAGAGAGAATGACCGAATTCTGCCAACAACACAACATGGTAGTGACAAATACATGGTTTAAATTACACCCTCGCAGATTGTACACATGGACTTCACCACAACACAATGAAAACAGAGTAATCCGTAACCAAATAGATTACATATTGGTCAACAAAAGATATCACAATGCAATCATCAGTGCAAAAACATATCCTGGAACTGACATCAATTCCGATCATAATCCTGTTGTTGCAAAAGTTCGCGCAAGATGGAAACTAATCAAGAAACAAAAACCTCAACACCAACTATTAGACATCCAAATATTGAAAAACGACACCATACATAAGACAGTAAATAAAGAATTAAACAAAAATTTAGGAAATATTGACCACAATAGAATTAGAGAGTACGATGACATAAACGTCCTGTGGAAAACTATTAAAGAACAAATTAACAATGTAACGGAAAAACATCTAAAAGTAACACCTAGAAATAACAAACAGGAATGGATGACAGAAGAGATTTTACAATTAATGAACAAACGAAGAGAATCTAAAGGAAAAAATGACAAGGACGTAGAATACAAAAGACTAAATAGAATAATTCGAAAAAAAATAACCGAAGCAAAAGAGAAATGGCTGGAAACAAAATGCGTTGAAATAGAAGAACTGCAACAAAGGCACGATTTTTTTAATTTACATAAAAAGGTAAAAGAGTTTACATCGACTACCAAGAGAACGACTTTTCACACCATGCTGAACACGGATGACAAACTGCTAGAATCAACGGAAGATAAACTGAAAGAATGGGAAAACTATATTAAAATTCTTTTTCACGACATACGAGAAGAACCAAGATTGGAAAATAACAACGAAGGGCCAACAATTCTGAAATCTGAAATCATAAATGCAATTAATCATCTCAAAACAAATAAAAGCCCAGGTCCAGACGGAATATACCCAGAAACGCTCAAATTAATCAGCGAAGAAAATATCGAATTATTTGTCCTTTTATTCAATCGCATTTATGATACAGGTAAAATACCTCAAGATTGGCTGGAGTCAATATTCATCCCACTACCAAAAAAGCCAAACCCACAACACTGCAATGAGTTCCATCTGATAAGCCTTATGAGTCATGCTGTAAAAGTCCTACTAAAAATCGTACATAATCGTATCTATAGAAAGTGCGAAACAATCATCGGAGACGATCAGTTTGGATTCAGAGCCGGCATGGGAACGAGAGAAGCCCTGTTCAGTTTATTAGTTCTCGCCCAAAAATGCTACGACCAACAGAAAGATATATTTATATGCTTTATAGACTTCGAAAAAGCATTTGATAAAGTAAGACACGACCTACTATTAGAACGTTTGCAAGAAGTCGGTTTAGATGGAAAAGACATCAAATTCTTAAAAAACTTGTACTGGAACCAAAAAGCCAGAGTTAGGATCGAAGGTTCCACATCCGCAGAAGTAGAAATTAGGAGGGGAGTTAGACAGGGATGTGTTCTGTCGCCTCTGCTGTTTAATCTTTACTCCGAGTTTCTATTATAAAGTGATGTCAATCCGAAAAAACCAAAACGTACCTCAACCTTGCACAATAAATGGGCACATCTTAGAACAGGTCAATAGATTTAAGTACCTGGGATGTTGGATCGATAGCAGCCTAAATCCTGATCAAGAAATAAGATCGAGAATAGAACAGGCTAGAAAATCCTTCGAAAAAATAAAAAAACTGCTTTGTGATTCTCGAATAAAACTCGAAATTCGACTACGTTTATCAAAATGCTACGTCTGGTCGACTCTTCTATACGCAGTTGAAACGTGGACCCTTAAAACATCAACCGTAAATAAATTGGAGGCCTTTGAAATGTGGATCTACCGGAGAATACTCAAAATTTCATGGACATCGCATACCTCAAACGAAGAAGTGCTGCATAGAATAGGCAAGGAAAGAGAACTTTTTAACACAGTAAAAGTAAGAAAAACATCATACCTAGGCCACATACTGAGAAATAATAAGTACCAATATGCCCAACTTATAGTGAAAGGAAAAATCGAGGGAAAGAGAGGCCTAGGAAGGAAAAGACTATCATGGCTCAGAAACATCCGACAATGGACAGGGCTAAATTTTGAACAGCTAATAAGAACAGCTGAAGATAAAGAAGAGTTTAAAATTGTAGTAGCCAACCTCCATTGAGGAGAGGGCACTTTAAGAAGAAGAAGTTGATATGATGTTCTTAACCACTTTATTAATATAAAGAGAATGTAAATTGCTTAATAGATTGCATCGGAATCTTCGATAACCCAAATAAAACTCAACTTCGGCTACAAAAACGGACTATGAAAATTGGAAGCGTTTGAAATGTTGACATATCGAAGAATGCCCAGAATCTACTGGACATACAGAATAACCAATGAAGAAGTACTAAGAAGAATAGAGAACAGCAGGGAGATACTGGATTCCATCAAAATAAGAAAACTACAAGATCTGGGTCATGTAACACGTGGCGACAGATATGAATTCCTTAAACTAATAATGCAGGGAAAGATTCAAGGAAAGCGCAGCGTAGGTTAGAATAAGAATGTCCTGGCTGAGAAACTTCAGAGAATGGTTTGGAGGCAGCTCAACTGAACTCTTTCGGGCTGTAGTATCAAAAGTTAGAATAGCAGTGATGATTGCCAACCTTCGTCGCGGAGATGGCACGTAAAGAAGAAAAGATAAGACCTCTAATAGGCCTCATCATGTACCGCGAATTTCGTGTGCTTACAAACGTTAACTTAGAATAGAATAGAATAGAATAGAAATATGCTTTATTGTCACTGAAAATTATTGAACAATTTTATGGACAAAGCTAAAAAATAAATCAGTCAAATAATACAAAAAGTATAAAACAAAAACAATATAGTAAAAAACAGAATAACACAATTTTAAATTAGTAAAATTATTGTATAACCTACATAATTTGTACAGACAACAACAAATGAGACAAATTGTAGCCACTGCTTGAGACACCCAAATGTAATTATAAACAATACTAATTTTGTTTCTTTGTTATACATTAAGAAACTCGTCAACTGAATAATATGGTCTTTCTGAGAGATAGATTTTTGTCACCTTACGAAACTTAATGAAGGATGTTGCGGATTTAATTTCTCTTGGAAGGTGATTATAAAGTTTCTTTGCACGATATAGAATAGAATTCTTTACTAGCTGAGTGGACGGGATCGGCAAATAAACGTTACAATCCGAATTTCTAATGGAGTAGCCATGGTCAGGTCTATCGGGAAAAATGTTTAGATGCTTTCGAATCAAACAAACCGTTTCCAAAATAAATAAAGAGGGAAGCGTCAAAATTCCGTGATTTTTGAAGTAGGTCTTGCAATGAGTTGTTTGTTTGAGACCAAATAGATAACGGATTGCTCTTTTTTGCAACTTAAAAATAGTATCAAATTGGGCCGCTGTACTAGAACCCCAAAATGGAAGCCCATATCGAAGATGGGACTCGAACAATGAGAAATATGCCATTTTGGCAGAAGATAAATTTAGTTCCTTCGAAACAGATCTTATTGCAAAGCAAGCTGAGGCTAGTTTCTTCCTTAAGGAGTCAGTATGCAAGGACCATTTGAGATCACTGTCAATGAGAATACCTAGAAATTTCACGGAATTTACGATATTGATTTGGCTCTCATTCAAAAGCAAGGTTGCATGACTCCTTTATAAGATAATGCTACAGTCTTATCCACGTTAAAGCTAAGTAAGTTGGAGTCTGACCAAGCCTTGATTATAAGTAAATCATCGGTTATAATTGAATGAAGCGTTGAAATATCAGAGCTGCTCCAAGTAATACTGGTATCATCAGCAAATAGAAAAATTTTCCCTTTAATTTTCAAGTAAGTGATGTCATTAATGAAAATTAAAAAAGAATGGGACCTAATACTGAACCTTGCGGTACTCCACACTCAATATCTTTACAACTAGAGTCGGTGTCATTTATTCTAACCAACTGTTTCCTACCTACCAAGTAAGTTTTGAACCAGTTCAAAGACACACCCCGAATTCCATAGAAAGTTAATTTTTTTAATAGAATGTCGTGATTTACGCAGTCAAAGGCTTTGGAATAGTCGCAGAAAACGGTGGCGGAGGAGAGGTTACTGTTTAGTGATAGATATACATCATGTAACACAGAAAATATGGCATCACTAGTGCATTTATTAGACAAAAAGCCGAACTGATTTTGCGATAAAATATTATATTTAAGGAGAAAGGGCATAAGTCGAACTTTTATAAGTCTTTCAATAATTTTTGATAGTGCTGGTAACAAGGCAATAGGTCTATAGTTGCAGGCATCAGATTTTTCTCCACCTTTATGAAGAGGAATGACGATGGCAGTCTTTAGGCAGTTAGGGAATGTACCTTTTTCAAGGGAATCATTTACTAGCGAGACCATGACGTCCAAAACATTATGCGGTAGATTTGAGAAAATTTTAATAGATAATCCATCTGTACTACAGGACGATGTGCTTTTTATACTACGAATTGTTGAAATGAGTTCCGTCTTATCAACTGGTCTTAAAAAGAAGGTATCAGCAATGTTTTTTGAATTAGAGAGATAGGAAACTGGATCTTGATGTGGCGAAATAGTTGAGGTTATATTTTTACTCACATTAACAAAGTAATCATTTAGATTTTCGGGGTTAGGAAAAGAAAAGGTTTGATCCGCTGTACTGGTTTTATTTCGAAAATCGTTTATTATTGACCAAGTTTCTTTTGAAATATTTTTGGAGCTTGTTAAGCGATTATGAAAGTAGGATTTTTTGGCTACTTTGAGTAGTTTTATATAGCATTTTCTGTACTTGTTGATATAATCAGAGATGGGGATACTGTCAATAAATTTTTTAATATATAGCAGAGAACGCATATTTTTCGCAGATATGCGAATGCCTTTGGTAATCCAAGGTTTGTTATGTTTTGGCCTGATGTTTAATAGAGGAAATGCTTTATTAAAAATAGATACAAGTCTATTTAGAAAATCACTAACATTACAGTCAATGTCTCCAGAAGAAAAACTCCAGTCAGAAGTTAAACATGAATTATAGAATTTACGAAAGTTTTGAGTGGAAAAAATCCTACCTAATCGTCGGGTTTTTGAGTGAGGTGTTTGTAAACTGCTAAACTTGGTATATACCGTTTCATGATCAGAAAGCCCCCACTAATAACTGTAGAATGGACGTCAGCGGGTGGAAAATCGGAAACCACATAATCAATTGTCGGGGATGATGTTTTTGAGATTCTTGTTGGAGAATTAACGTACATTGTGAGACCATATGATTCAAAAATAGTTACCAAAGACAGTTGGGTCGCACAAACAGCAGCGTAGTCAATATTAAAATCACCACATAAAATTTTTCTGCTTTTAATGGGCAGAATATCTAACAAATTTAGCAGGCTCTGAAAAAATAGTTCAGTATCAGAGCTAGGTGATCTATAAATGCAAATAATGTATAGATTAAATTTCTTATTAAAAATCAAAGAAAATTCGAAGTAGTTTTCACCCAGCAAATAGTCATATTTCGAAACTGAAGAAAAATCATTGTTATTTGAAAGAATCAGAGTGCAACCATGAGCTGAACTTGGACGATCATACCTAGCAATTGTGGTATATTCTTGAATGAAAATTGGCTCATTAATTTCAAGCCAGTGTTCCGTCACTGCAACTAACTGGGGAAACCCTAATTCTTCCAGAAACAAAAATAATTCGTCTGTCTTATTTCTAATCGATCGAATATTAATAAGAACCATGCCAAAGTTGCTAGCAGTTAAATTTGAGGATTCTAGACTCTCAGAACACGTCGAAACTTGATATAATCGTTAAGCCCTTTTTGTTGAATAATGATATATCCAAATTATTCTTTATTTTTTAGGATGATAAATCGCTTTGGAGAATAATTTTTATCATAGCAGCTTGTGTCTACACTGCTGCCGCCATAATTTTTATCATCTTTGGATCAGCCGAAGTTCAACCTTGGAATGACGAAGAGCAGAACAACGAAAAAGAAGAAGAAAATAAAGAAAAAGTGTGAATAATTAAATTAAACGATTGAATATCATTAGTTCACTTACAACGGCACTAAAAGTGTATCTGTGATATATTTTAATTTTTCTGTCTACCAGATAAAAGCATCATAGAGGCATACTGGTAAGCCAGCAATAAATAAAGTTAATAGCAAAGTAATAAAAATTAGAAAGATGTAAAATGATTTGCAGTATTTTACTTATAATATTGTTTAATTTTTTATGAATAGAAATATCAACTTATAGTTTGAAAGTATTTTTATCAAAATATGATAAAAAGTATTTAGTTTTATATTATTTATATTCTATTATCATCATCGAAATGAAAGTTATTCCCTTCGATGTAAAAGTCGATCCTATCAAAGTGTATTTATTTTGCTGGATTTATTGTCCAGTTATTGTTAGTTTTTATTTTTTGTGTCCTTGCGGATTTTTGTTTGTATTTGCTTATCTGTAAATATATTTGCAAAAGTTACAATACTTCTATTTTCAAACCCAATATTTTACTTAAAGCGAAAAAATGTTTAATTTTTCTTTTAAATTCTTCAAACTATGATTAGTCGTTAAGAAATATATTTTTGTAATATTTTTGTTTTGTATATTGTGTATACGAGATAATATAAATCCCTTTGATTTAAAATAAAAAATATATATATTTGTTGTATTTCTATATTACATATATATTTATCAAATATAGTGATATCAACGGAACCGAGACGATGTAAAGTAGTTGTAAATAACAAAATAATAGAACAAGAGATGGAAACTGACTACTTGGGAATAAAACTGTCAAGCTAAGGAAAAGTGGAAGAAGAAGTACAAAAACAAGCGAACATGGCAAACAGAGCAGCAGGATGTCTCAACAACATAATCTGGAGAAACTAATACCTCACAACGGAAACAAAAACCAGGATATATAAATCAGCAATACGACCGATAATGACGTACACACCGGAAACACGAGCAGATACGGCAAAAACACAATGACTGCTGGAAACAACAGAAATGAAAGTCTTACGAAAAATAACAAACCACAATGTAAGAAACAGAGTAAGAAGTGAGGAAATACAAGCGAGATGTGGTATAGAGGAAATAAACGCGTGGACCAAAAGAAGAAAAGTGGAATGAAATCAACACATCGAAAGAATGACAGAAAATAGAATAGTAGGAATAGCAAGAAACAAATCGCCAAATGGAAGAAGCTCATTGGACAACCGAGGAAAAGATGGTCAGACAACGTCAATTGAGGCTAAAAACCGAAGTAAAACAGGCATTAAGCCTATTTATAAAGTAGGAAGAAGAAGAAGAAGATATATATTTATCAACATTTTATAAAATTTAAATAATGAAGTCTAAGTCAAATTCAATTCCGTATTAAAAATTGTATAAAATATCTCGGTACTTATTTAGACAGAAAACTTCTATGGAAGGATCAAATTCATCAAGTCATTAAAAAGTCTGAAAATGCAATGAACATTCTAAGAGCGTTTTGTAGAACTAACTGGGGCGCTGATCCAAATGTAGCACTTTTATTTTACCGTATTATGATTCACCCCATTTTCGATTACAGTTCTCATTTGTATGGAACTGCCGCAGACACACATTTAAATAAATTAGAAATACAAAAAATAAATGCCTTCGGCTTTGTCTTGGATATTTGAATTCTACACCTGTTAATATAATGGAAGTTGAGGCGATAGAACCACCTCTGAAATTTCGAGGGCAGTTTTTAAGTGATAAATTCATTACTAGAGCCATAGGGAAAAATACTAACTATCTACAGGATATTCATATTTTATCAATTTTAGATCTAACTCATAAATATTGGACAAAGAAAAAATGTTCTCTTCTGGTAAATAGTTACTTGAGGATATCTCAATACCGACATACTTTCTATTCGTATGAAAATCAAGTTTTACCTATGTATTCCCATATATTAGAAGAGCTTTTCTCAAAACATATTAATAACTTTTTTATGGAGAGTAATTTAGATCCAGTCGCTTTTCAATCATTTACACGGCATAAATGGCCAAATAATCAGTTTTACTTTACAGACGGATCTAAAGTACAAAACAAAGTAGGATGTGCAATAATTAATATTCAAAGTGGATTTAAAAAATTCCTGAAATTGCCAGCTGAATCATCGATATACACTGATGAAATCACAGCGATTCTTCTTGCATTAAGGCATATACATAGTAACGAACCCTACATCTGCATAATATTTACAGACAGTAAGAGTGTCGTCGACAGACTAACAAACGTACATAGGTCCAAACTACTAAATCATATAGAACTAGAAATTATGACTATTTACAATAAAATTACAAATTTAGGGACAAACATTATTATATCATGGATAAAGGGACACGCGGGCATTAAGTGCAATGAAATAGCATATAGCCTAGCCAAATCTGCCCTAGACATAGGCGGAGAAGCTCCCTTGAACTTACTCCCCTTTTCAGATATTGATATAATTAGTAAACGGCATCAAAAAGAAAAATGGCAAACATATTATCGAAACACGAGAACTGGAAATAATTACAAACAAATGCAGCCTGAAATACCCATAAAAAGATGGTTTCATACTCTATCAAATCGCCATTTCATAAGGGTTATAAACAGATTAAGATCTAATCATGCTCTTACCCCCCTTCATATGTACAAGTTGGGTCTCGCGGAGTCACCTAATTGCAAGTGCGGAAAAGAAGGTAACCTATTACATATTTTCCTTGAATGTTCCCACGAATCAGTAAACATAAACAAATTTTATGATAATCTTATTGTATTAAAAATTCCACTTCCCGTCTACCTGAACAATTTTATTTTCTCTAGAGATATCAATATATTAAAAACGAAATTACGAACATATCAAAAACTGTAAATTTAAATTGTAGCTTAAAACTAACCCTTATATTTAAGTAAATATTGTATTATAGCAGAAAAAAAAATGGAAAAAAAATAATATTTATTTAATAAAAAAATATATATATATATATATAAAATTAAACAAAAAATAATAAAAAAAAATATATAAAAAATTAAAAAATAAAAAGAAAGATGTAAACCTCCGAGATGTGGGTTATGTCTTAGAGCAGGAAAAAAAAAGAATTAAAAAATAAGTTGAAATTTATTAAAAATTGCACGTTAGATTGTACGGATGATTGTATGTTTTTTCCTATAACTGTAAAAAATTCCTCTGATTGTTAAAATTGTTTGTCTTTAAATTTGTCTGGCTAATTGGCTCGGCCAAGGCCATCAAACTAAAATAAAAAAAAATAAAAAAAATAACAAAGTCTATTATTTAAAAGTTCTACTTCTTCTTCTTCCTCTTTATAAGCAATTCTGCTTGCTCATTTTCGGATTAATACCTCTATGGAAGTTTGTCACTCCATGCTCCCTGCTTATGTGGTTATTCCATTCCTTTTTTTCTATTTAGTGTCCAGTCGCTTATACACTGTACGTTACATTTTCTTCTAATATCTTCACTTCTCTTTAGATCTCACAGCGTAATTTGTCTTCTTTGTAATTCTTCTCAGTACTTTCATCTCTCCTGCTTCCAGTAGCCTTTGTGTTGTGGCTTTAAAAATTCTTGACTTCATCTCAGTGTTAATGTGTCTGTTTCGCCATAAAGTGTTATTAAGACATCCTGCCCGTCTATTTGCATTTTGTACTTGATCTCTCATTTCTCCCAGTAAGCACAAGTACGTACATAAGACATACTAAGTACGTACTGATGGGACATAAAGTGCGTACAATGTACGTACTTTGCTGTACCAAGTACGTACTTAATACGTACATAAAACGTACATTTTCCAAATTATGGTACGTACCTAGTACATATTGAAGGAGTACATACTATATGTGCAACAGCAACGGTTGGCGATGAACAGAAACGACTGGCGAAATAGACTGGGGAAGGTCAAGGCTCAACTAGCGCTGAACCACCACTGATAATGATGATATATATGTAAATAAATAAAAATAATAAATAAAAGTAAATATAGGTGAATATATTATTATTTTTCTTTTTAATTCAATTTTTATTCTTTTAAAAATAAGAAGGAAAGTTTTTAGGCGATCCCCGACTCTCTTCAACCATCGTCCAATTTCTTGCTTCGCCATTTTCTTATCACTACATTTTTGACACAAAAAACACTCGACTGAATAAAATAACAGGAAACCACAAGCACCAAACTCCAAAAATAAGTAAAAAAAATCTAAATGAAACTGTCTTGCAATGAATTATCACATCACAACTGTACTCGAGGTGAAAAATTCCTAACTAAATAAATTAGGTTAGGTTAACATAACCTAACGTAATAAATATGCTTTAACCCTTCTGTACGTACTGGTATGTACATACTTAAGACGTAATAAGTACGTACTCTTCTGTACGTACTGGTATGTACCCCAATGTACGTACTTAAAACGTACATTTTACATCATGTAAGTACAGTACCAAAATTGTACGTACTTAAAACGTACTGTGCTGTTTGGGCTTTGTCCAGGTCTCCATAGCTGGACTGCTGGACAGTGTAATTCCAAAGTATTTTATGACCATTACTTTTTCAATACTGATACCATCAAATTCTATTTTACAACTGGTTGATTGTTTGCTAATTACTATTGTTTTAGTTTTTTGAGATGAGATTTTCGTATTAAATTATTTTGCTCTTATGTTAGATCTGTGGACTATAAGTGGACTATACAGATTGAACGAAATAAATTCGGAACATACGAAATATTATGTATTTCGGCTCAATTCTGCTGTAGGTGGTTGACCAACAAAAGGTTGTCAAAATTGAAAGCTACACATAAATATACGATTTTATTATGCTGTCAAACCACTTATAGTCCAGGAAATGAAGCATTTCACCTCGTAATATTTTCGTCCTGCGTGGATTGACTTGAAATTTTAACAGAAGGTAGGTAATAGCCAAGGATCAAAATCTATATTGAACCAAAGTGCGCCAAAGCCTTGGGTTTGGTTGCCACCCCCATCTCGGGGGTAAAATTTTTTTTTACGTTTTAACTACAGGTTTCGATTAAAAAAGTGATGCTAAACAAAAAATGTTGTATACATTTTTTTGTAAAACTGATATTTTTCAAGTTATTCGCGATTGAAAGTAACAAGTTTTAGACAAAAAAAATCGACGTTTTTAATCGATTTTTTCGCGAATAACTCGAAAATGGTGCATTTTATCAAAAAAATTGTAGAGAACAAATTTGTAGCCTTTAAAAAGACAAATACAATTCATTTTATCAAATGTTTTTGCGATATAACAGGAACCGAAATACGGCCTATCAATATTCAGCGGTTTTCTTCAAATGCCAAATTTGAAAGATTTAAAGTCAAATATCGGGAAAATGATGCATTTTTGGAAGAAAACTCACAGAACCTTTTTTAAAGAGTATAAATAGAACTATCATAAAAAAAGACTCTAGCTCAAAAATTGAGTGAGTTATGATGAAAATAAGGTCAATACCTTATTTTTTTTACGAAAAAATCGATGAAAACAACCCACTAACCACCCCCATAATTAAAATCGATCTTCACCCTTCTGCAATTCTCTTTGTACATGTATTGTTAATACGTCCAAGAAGTTTGACCCATTTAAAATGCTTAGTTTTCA